ATTTTATCAATTGATAACTTTTGCGTGAATGTCATGATAAGCAAAAGGTTCTTATCAGCAATATCAATATAAATGAATAAATTTCAATTATTTACTCAAGTTAAATCTCTTATATTATTATCAAAATTAAATTTTGTAATACAATCATATGGTTCTAATTACATGTATATATATTCGATTCAAATTTCTATAAACATTCAAACTTGATCATGTATAATCCTGTAGACAATTAGAAAAAAAAGAATAACGCGTAATCTCAGCGAAAAATAGATTTTTATTCAAAATCATTTGATTTACTATTGATTGTATCATAACAGATGATATCATCGAACAGATATTTATCAGCAATACTTAATCGATAGATCATAGCATCTTATTTGTTTTCTTTCTCGAACTACTTGTGAGCAGGGTTCTGCAAAGTGGTCCCGGTCCCGGGACCTTTTTGTTTTTATTTCTGTCGGGACCGGGATCGTACTAAAATTGTTATCTGGTCCCGTCAATTTTTTTATCATATATTAAACTAGACATTTTCCTGTCTATAATCTCTATAAATTAAGAAATGGCAAATCAATATTTCCAGTTTCAGCTATGGCAAAAATATATATTTAATTCACATTGAAAATATTAAAAAATTTTACCAACTTCATAGATTATTTAACAGATAAAGGAAAAACTTTAGATCGGGACCGGAACCGAAAAATAAGTGATTTTACAGCTCCCTACTTGTGAGTCATTTTAATTTCAGTCGATGTGTTTTTTCTATATTGAATAGTTTATACTAGATCATTATTTTCTATTTTGCTTACTTTTCATTTTATAGTCATTAGTCTTAATTTATAAATGATTTTGAATATTTTAAGTTCATTTTCGCATTTTGTAAGTCAGATTTTTTTGTTTTACTATACAGGAATAAAATGATAGATCAACCATCCGATAAAATCAATCAACGAATTTTATCGTTTTTCATTAGAGAAAAAGACAATGTATTTAGTATTTTCATCTTTAATCATACTGAAAAAATATGAAGATGAGAAAAAATTAAATTCAAACAAATTTATTATAATAATTGCATTTGACAAGAACTTTAACGTTCTTTAATTCATAAATAAGAGATTTTTTAAAAAATCAAATTATAACATATTAAATATGAGTATGTAGAATAAGAAAGGAAAATAATTATTCAAAAAATATTCTATCTGACCGATAATAACCAAAGAGATGATATGGTTCATTGATCACGTAATTTACTTATATTAGATTATTAGTGGGAATAGAAATTTGATCGAAAGGAAAATTATAGTTTCATCAATCGTACTAAATAAAATAGAAATGAGTGTAATAATTATGATGTAAATAATACACATTTAAAAGACTGTTATTCATTCTAGATTTTTTTTCTTATTAGGTCGAATTATATAAAAATGCCCTATTTATTAAAAATGTACTAAATTTGCTTTATATTTTATTATAAAAAGTAAATAATAAATTAACCTGTTCTGTCCTATATATTTATTTATTTTATTTAAATTGAAGTACTTTTATATTTGATGTATATATATATCAATGTGATACTGTTAAATTAAAATGAGCTTATTAATTCATATTATTGTTCTTAAAAGAAAATAATTGTTAATTTTCATTAATCGTTTCAATGCTTAGATAAAATATTTAACATATAGAAAATGTCAATTATAAATATGAATATTTATTTTATTAGAACGTTTAACGAAATTTCATACATAATGTATTCTCTTGGGAAATATATCTTAATAATAGAATATTTTTTTTTCCAGGTCATAACAACTTTAATTACCTCTAACTTGGCTATTAATTAAATATTAAAGAATAAAATAAATGTTATGTCATGTAGAGAATCTGGAAGAATTCATTTCATGGAATTAATTCAGTGATTATATTTATCATATTAGTTTTTTAGAAATTATGAATGAAAAATAAAGGTTATATACTGTTTATACGACTGGCGACGTTTGACAATATCGAGGTCGTATGAAAGGTAAACAAGATAATGATAAGTGGGCGAGTAAAGTTATATTTATGTCAATATTTATATTAAAAATATTATTCATTTTATAGTGTCTGAAATAATCTTTGAAAGACTTTCTTTTGATTTCTATTGGATAGATATTTTTATCTTTCATAAAAATGCAAAATCTAAAATTTAATATGTTAAATAGAATATCAATAGAAAAAATTATTCATAATAATTACTTCCTACATTTGATAATTTTCCAAAAACAAAAATAAGATTGTTTATACACTTAACATCTCTTATTTATATTCCTCGAATAAATAATAATAAGAAAAAGAAAACAACGTTAAAATTCACATATATTCATAAATATATATATATATATATGAGTATGTTATAAAAAAACAGACTATTTTTCTTGGTTTACAAGACTAGACAGATAGATAAACACAATTTATATAAAGTATTCTGTCGACATAAGAAAAATTTATTGATTTGTATCGATTATTTGAAATAGGTCTTCAAAATGAATTGTTGCAGGTGATTTCGGCTGAATAGTTTCAACATAAATAATATCATCATCTGTATCATCATGAGTTTGTTGTTGTGGTTCATTATTATTAGAAAAATTTAAACATAATATAGAATTTGTCGGTGATGATAAACTATCAAAATTAAACTCATTTTGATATTCAACTTTCATTCGTTTTAATATCGGCAAACTATCATCATCAAAATCTTGATCTTTTTCTTCATCATCAATATCATCCACTTCTTCAACATGTCTTTTCGGTTCAGTTTTACGTAAACGTTTTATTGATCGCGGTAGAATTGTTGATGGAATTAATGGAATTATTTTTTCTGTATTACCATGTTGATTTAAATGTACACATATATGTTCATCTGAATCATTCGTATTATTTAATTGAATATTTTGTTTTAATAAATTTTGTACATCATATGTGTCAATTAATGCATTAGCTTGTTCAAGTTCTTCATTCATAGAATTTAAATTATAAAATAATGATAGTATATCATCAAATTGTGTTGTATGAGATTTTTCTAATACTGTATCGGCTTCTTTTAATAAATTCGTAAATTCTTCTGTTGTATTTCGTGTTGAAAGATTTAATTTTGACCAAAAATTCTTACTAATACGTTCATTATATTCATTTAATGAATTTAATGTTGATTGTTTATGTTCAAGAAATTTTCGTTCAAAATTTTCATAGATTGCTTGTGTTTGTTGAATTTTTCTTCGATTAATGTCTTTCAATTCACTTATTCGATTATGTGTTGTATGAATACGAGAAACACGATAACGACATGTTTGAATAATATGTTTAATATTATCGAGAACTTTTTCTCGATCATTCTTAAAACATTGTTGACATAAGAGAAAATCACAACATGAACATAATATTAATGATGATTTTTCTTGACATTTTGTACATTTACCATTAATATCATAATTTTTTGGAACTAATTCAAGTAATTGACGATGTATATATGAGATAGGAAATTGATCAGCACCATTATATGGAAATGTACGACGACATAATGGACAAGATATCGTTGGATATGGTAAATTCGATGAAGGAATTGATTTAAGACATGAACAACAAAATACATGTTGACATGGTAATGCACGTGGATCACGTAAACGATCGATACATAATGGACATTGTAGATTTTCTTCAATATTTGAATAAGCATACGCTAGTTTTGGTGAAGGTAAACGAGTAGGCGGAGAAGCACATTTTGTTATAACACCAGAAGATAATGAATGTTGTACTAGAAATATAAAAAACAGTTTTTAAATTTTGTAATATTATATTTATTCTTTTTTTTGTTTTTTTTTTGTATTTATTGGAAAAAACCCCTTACGTTTTATTTGTTGTTCATGCTTATTAGTGGATGTCGCTGTTTGTACTGATGTCGAAGAAGGAATAGCATTACTATAAATAGTATGGGTAGGTGTTGTAACCAATGATGTAATGATAGGAATAGATCGAAGTGCAGTAGTGGTTGTTGTTGTTGTTGTGCTTGTGGAGCGTGTTGTCATTTTAGGTGCTTGTAGTGGATTACGATAGAAACTTAAATCAATAGGACCTTGATTAGATTCTCTTCGATTTGGTGCTGATCTCAATTGACTATGCATACGAAGAAGACTATGACGTACACTTGGATAACCTAAATAATAACAAATATTATGTATTTATGAAAGATAAAAACAAGGATTATTTAACTTTATAAATTGAAAAAGAAAAACATGAATGTTTTAAGATTTGTCATTTCCCTTATTATTTTCTTTTGAAGAATCGAAGAAAAAAAACAATAAAGATGTACTTTATCAAACTTACCACTCATAGATGAATGTTGATGTAAATTAGATTGACTTGTTGTTGATGACGATGATGATGATGATGATGATGATGATGCTGATGTTGATGTTGAAACGGATGATGATTGCTGTTGATGTTGTTGTTGTTGTTGTTGTTGTTGTTGTTGTTGTTGCTGCTGCTGTTGCGCAGGGGTATATGCATGAACCGTCCTCATGATTGTGACTTTATTTGAAATTGTTTAATCGATTTTTAAAGAAAATTGTTTATATTAAATCATGGAAATTTCAATTCCAGCATTCATTGTACATAAAAAATTTTCTATCAAAGTAAAAATGATCGTCGGTATTAGTAGTAATGGTGATGACTGTGTATGTGTGTCTATGTGTGTTGTATGTCTGTGTATGTGTGTTGTTGACGTTCTCTTACTCGACGTATATATTCTGCGTTTGGTTGCCCGCGCGCGTTTGCTCGCTCGTTCGCTTTTTTTTTTATATTCTACTTCTATAACATGATGACGGCAACACATACAAAAAGCCCCACTATACGTTGTCTTGCAAGTTATAGGATGTTATTATTTTGTTTTTGCTTAGTTAGAAACTAACAATTATAATAAATATTTCATAAAGAACTTTTTATTTATACTTAACAAAATGAACTAAAACACAAATAAAATTTTTCTTTTCAAATATAATAAAGATCACGAGTATTAGCCTTCATTGTATTGAATAATAATAAAAAAATTCATCAACTTATTTATTGCATGATGTCTATAGGATATAACATTAAATTATTGTCATATGAAAGGATTGTTTAAAAATACTAAGTACGAACATGATGACATAAATATTGATATTCTTCTCGTATGTTCTGTAGAAGATTTTTTTTTGTTCGAGAAGAACGAGAAGAGAAGAAAAAAAATACATTATCGATTTTTTTTGTTCTTGATGCTTTTTTTCTATGGCGAAAAAGACGCTTTATGATATATTTTGAATTTTGTTTCAAGATTTTAAATATTGAATTTATAATCTATACGAAAGAAAATTATTTGTAATTTTAAAAAGAAAAAGCTTTTTATTTAATGGTTAATCATTATTATTTATTTGTGTTTTTTTACCACAGATATTAATATGATGAATATAATATTTCTCAATTTTTAAGCATTGATTTAGAATGACAGATTATTTGCTTTATTTCAATCATGACTTTGTACTATTACTAATTTCTGTTTTTACCATATCACACATTTAAAAAAAATCATATTCGTAATAGAATCATTTGGACGACGTCATAATCTTGTAATATTAAATGCAATTAAAAATATTATTCTGTTTTCTTGCTATATAAATTATTTAATTGATAAGAAAAAACTTTAACTATTTATTAGTTTATAATGGCATAAATCAACATAAATTTGCTAACTATCATTGAAAAGATTTTTCAAGTACGTTTTTAAATGCTAAGTGTTAATAGTGTTTTTAATTCAATGATATTTATTTTCTAATTGCAAAAGAATAACTTTGAAATTCTATGACTAATAAAATACTTGTATGAGTCAAGTATATACAAAATTTATTCCAATGTTTCAATTTAATTAAATAATAACTCAGATGTTGAAATAATCAATATTTAATCTATCAAAAGAAGAATAAATATTAATGTTATTTAAATAAAATATGTAATTGCAATTTCTACCATATTGATCCATGAGAGTTCTCTGAATCATAATAGAGAAAAACAAATAGAAGAATTTCTACCTACTGTTTGAACTCTCTGAACTGACACATTAACATAGTTCTATGAGTGCTTTTGAAAGTCTTCGAAATGTTTTTACTTCCTGAATGTATTCATCTGATTAAAGTCAGTCGATAGGATTAAATAATGCTGATTTTTAAAATTTAAAATCCAATAAAAAATAGGTATGATTTATTACACAATTTGCACATCATAAAATTGAAAGAATTTTGCACTAGAATATAATAAATGCATCCATTAGCATTGTAGTTAAATAGATATTTTAGAGAATTTTAACATTCGTAATTGAGCGATCTCTATCGAAATATTCGTTTTGTTTTTATTTCACTTGGTTTTATCTCTTTAGATAAGTTCTTCATTTTTTTATTTTTCTTCTTTGCTAGAACGTATTATTTTGTTTACGACAATGTCAGTGGATTTAAGCGCAGGTTATATTTAAACTCAATAATTACAATCAAAAAAAAAAGATTCTCATTCTTAAATTTAGGTTTAATTCCATCAGTCTATCGTGATCTATTTGAAATGGTTAATTTACATGGACTTGATAAAATAACACTTACTGTATTTATATCTGTATTTGAATCAAATACATTAACAAAAAATATATTAAATCAAGTATAAAAATAGGAAAAAATACATTTTTTTCTTATTCGTATTTCTTTAGATTTGGAATGCAGTTATAAAAACAAATTCAATTTCATCACGTAATGATTTATATAAATGTTTGGCATTAATGGCACTCGCCCAACAGGGGAAAAATGTTGATGAAAAATTACTCAATAATTATGTAAATCGAGGTATATACATAATTCAATGATAAGCATTCGAATTTATTTTCTTCATTTAGAATTCCCTATTCCAACACTAGACACGATCAATAATCTAGAAGATCGTTTACTTCGTATTTTACGTAGTGAACAAGGAAAAAATGAACTTTGTTTTCGTTATGGTGATCTATGTTCATTAGATACAATTCAAGTTGATCTTGCAGCTGAAAGAGGTAAGAAATTTATAATAAAATTCGCTTGACAATAACATGTTTTTTTTTGTTTGTTAGGTTTTATTAAAAAACATTTCGAATATGATGTATCAAGCCTGGTAAATCTTTTTGTTGTCATTTTGTCCAAATGTCATCATTATTTTCTTTTCTCTCTATCAGCGTCACAAAAACAAAGTCATACGTCGATATAATGACTTTCTTGCATTAAATGAATTATTGAGTTTAAAATATCCCTTTCGAATAATACCACAACTCCCACCAAAAAAAGCCGTTAATGGTCTCTAAATTCTTGCGATTTTAATTGGGCTGCTATAAAACAAAAAAAAAATTATCGATCTAGAGTTGCACTTGCTCACTGATTGCTAAAAATTTTTTTTCTCTCAAAGAAAATGAATTAATTTTTAAATGAGTTTTTTTTCTTCTTCTAATTTTAGTTGATAAAGAATTTATTGAAGAACGTCGTCGTTCATTAAAAAGTTATCTGGAAATATTATGTCGACATCCAATTATTTGTGAAACAGAAATAATTAAATTCTTTTTAACTTTCCAAGGAACGGTTCGTATACAAAAGTTGAATATTATATGATATTTATTTTAAATATTTATATATAGTCATGTGGTGATAATATGAAAGCAACATTTAAGAATACACTTGATGAATTTAGTCATGAACCACCAACGTCATCAAGTTCTATTGATAGAATTGAAGTAAAATGAACTATATTATAATTATATTTTTATTTGTAAATTCTATTCTAGAGACATGAAGAAGATTCAAATGGTATTCGAATGTTTCATATAAGTCAAACACATATATCATTTCTTCATCAGCAATTTTCTCAAATTCGAATTTATGTTAAAAATATTAATGAGAGAAATTTTAAAACTGCTGAAGAATATTTTCGAATTGAAAAAGCTTTACAGTATAGTTTTTACAAATTTCGAAAACTTAAATAAATTCAATTCTATTTAGATCAATTAGTACAGATTCAACACAAGTTCAACGTTGGGCTACAGGTCCGAATGATTATTGGCCAACAATACAAAATGGCCTTAATGAATTGCCTATTGAAATAAATGCTGTTGCCGAACGTATTAAAGAAGAATGTATACATGAAGATGAAATTATTAATGATCATCTTGATATGTTAATTGAATTACTTCAAGGATATAAAGTAATAGAATAAGTTTTGTATCGATTAAAATTTGAGTTTATTTTTTTTATAAAGGATTTATGTAAACGATTTGAAGATGCATTACAAATTGAACAACGAGCTATTCATAAAGCATCAAATCAAAATAGACGTTCATTATCAACAACTGATGTGTCATCGAAAGTAAATATTTTCTTTCACTACCCAAGCAGACAAAAAATTGGAAACACGCTCAATCAGGAACCGCGATTGTAACCCATTCACGCTTAATAATAAAACGGCGTTTTGGACGTAAAATCACCACCTTTATAACGTTAAAACGGTGAAAAACTCCTATTTATAACGCTTAAACGCATGGGTTTTAGACTCTAGAATAAACGCGCGTTTTAACGATATAAAAGGTGGTGATTTTACGTCCAAAACGCCGTTTTATTATTATGCGTGAATGGGTTACAATCGCGGTTCCCGATTGAGCGTTTTCCAATTTTTTGTCTGCTTGGGTAGATTTTATCATTTAATATAAAGCTCCGTAAGAACAAAAAAGGTCAAAGCCTACCTAATTTATTATTCTCTTAATAACGAATTGTAAATATGACATCTTCTTAATTCACACGAGTCATGAGTATTCAGTTTTATCCTTATATTTTTTTATTGTTTATTTAAGAATGATAATAATAATCTTGATATGATTGAAAAACGTAATAATCATGCACTTAAATGTATACAAATTGAAACACAATTAATCTACGCGAATTTAGAAGCATTTGTTTATATTCTAAGTGGTTTAGGAAATATTCAATCTAAAGTCTCATCTGATGTAAGTGAAACGTTCTTGTTTGTTTGATTAATTTCATTTTTTTGAATTTAAAAAAAGCTTCTCAATGTTTGGAAATCATTTTCGAATAAAATCTCTCAACTTGGACAAACATATATCAATAAATCATCCATACAACGAGCAACTACAAGTGGATTAAAAAATACTTAAATGCTTATTATCTTGTTTTATTTGCTTTTTCTTATTTCATTTTAAAAGATACAATAAAAATATATCCAGGAAAAAGATAAAATTTTTCATTGTTGTTGTTGTTCTTGTGATATTGAATCTTCAATGTTTAATGGTTCCTTGATTTTATTATGTTCATTAAATAATTCTATCCAACGTGAACGTAAAACATCAGGTGATGGAAGTGATTGATGTGGTCGTTGAAAGAAATTATCATTATTTATTGGAAATTGTTTCGCTCGAAAAAGCATTTCACGTGCTGAACCAATATCTCTTTTAAATAATATTCTTTGGTCAGATAATATCATAGTAGTTAGATTAGTAAATAGAAATATATATAGAATAAAACAGAAAGAAATCCAACGGGCCATAAGAACCTCTTTATCTAGAAAAAAACAACTCTAAACTTTTAATATAAACATATATATATCAAATAAAATAAGTTTTTAATAATAAAAAAATTTTCTAAGCACGTACACTTCTCTCTCCCTCTCTTTTTCTTCTTCTTCTTCATCTACCATCTGGTACTTAGTAAGCGTAGAGAGAATTTGAGACACAAATTCTAGTTATTTTAGTAGATATATTTCCTTTTGTTCTCGTTTCGATTATATCTAAATCACGCACATATAAGATTGTGCATGTGCACTATATATAGAGAGATGAATGCAACTGAGCAAGGAAATTCAATTTGACAATAGACGACGCAAGGGATACTATCATTTGTATTTGTTTTTTCATGAATAGAAATGATAGTAGAGTCGATTAAAATTACATTCAATAATGACACGTTCAATACAATTCTACATTTTCACCGAAACTAACATGACAAAAAAGTAGGCCGCTATTTTTTCTCTTTAAGATTTCATTACAATGACATATTGAGATAAATGAAATGAATAATCCTAATTAAATTTATTTATTATTAAATAAATTCAATGAACTGAAGGTGCGCATTGTACAGCAAGAAGATTTTCTTTTTCTTTTTCTTTCTTTTTTTCTTCTTTTCTTTGAATAGAATAGATGATGATAGAACGACGGCATCATATCGTACTTTATTTTATTCTCTTTCCTTTACATTTTACTTTTATGGTGATGTGAATCGATGCAAACTTTGTTGTATATATTTGATTCTCGTGGCAGCAACATACGGTGCTCGTCACGCATTTTTTACATTCAGCAACAGCGCCTAGCGTGCATACAAGAAGAAAAGAAGAAAAGACGAAAGAAAAGGAGGAGCACACAGGGCAAGAGCAATACCGTTGTTCATTGTATTTGCAAGACTCGGAACGAGTGTGCAACATTATAAATCATTTTCTTTTGAAATAAAATAACAACAGAGGTCAAACTATTACATGAGCTTTCGACGTTCTTCAACGCGTGTTAAACCTCCTAAAGGAACGATTAAAATACTTTGTGTTGGTGATGGTTCTATTGGTGAGTATTTTTTTTTTAAATTAGGTTTTTTTTCTTCATGTCTAATAGATAAAATATTTTATCTCTTCTATTACATATAGGAAAAACATGTTTGTTAACTGTATTCGCAACAAGTAAAAGAGAAAAACGAATGTATCTTTTTTGTTTTTAATTTTCAAATATTTAGATGAATTTCCAACGACTTATGAACCAACAGTTTTTGATAATTTTGCATGTGTTATGCATAGAAATTTAACAACATCATATAATCTTGAACTATTCGATACAGCTGGTCAAGAAGAATGGGAACAACTACGTCGAATGATGTATGCTAATACAGACGTATTTTTGGTATGTTATTCATGTATGCAACCATCATCGTTTGATAATGTTGAAAAAAAATGGATGCCTGATATACGTAGTCATGATCCATCAAGTCTTGTTATTCTTGTTTCACTTTGTATTGATTTACGTACAAATAATAATTCAATAATTCCTCAACCTGATCTAATATCACAACCAATGATAACAACTCGACAAGGTTCAGACTTAGCTAAACATTTAAAATGTAATGCATTTATTGAATGTTCATCAATGCTTCGTTTTCATGTTCGAGAAGTATTTGAATGTGCTATTGATATATATGAACGTGATTTTCAATTAACTACGGAACAGCATTGTAATGATCATCGACAATGTCATACATGGTTATGTTGTCTTATGTGTTGCTCAACAAGACACCGAAAACAACAACAACAACAAAAAAAGAAGAAAAATGATAAGTCAGATGAATATATACACAATCCAGAATGAATAGTATTTACAATTATAACATTGTTATCAATTTGTCTTTAGTTAAATCCGGTGGTTATATTTGTTTTTAACAAAAAAACAACCTCCTTCGTTTTTTTTTCTGTTTGTACCATTTCATTCTTTTTTGTTTTTATCTATCGTCATGTTTTTGTCATGTATTTATGGAAAAAAAAAGAGAGAACCATAGAGAAAAAGAATAGCACAAGACCATGAAATATATAAAGAATAGAAGAAGAAAAAAAAACACAGGTTATCTATCTATCTGTACAATAAATGAAAAATATATTTAATACAAGAAAAATAACATAGAAGTATATAGGAAGAACAATATCAAATTAATTTTGTACAGGTTCCATTTGTTTGATTTCATCAAGTAATCGTCGTCCATGGGATGACCAATCAATATCACTAATACCAACACATGTAAATTTAATTTTTCGTTCATCCTACAAAAAATTAAATTAGATATTTCAAATTTAATCATATGTATCCTTACATTGTATTGTTCAGCTTTAGCACGAAGTTTAAATATACGTTCATGATTCATAGCTTTTCGAACAATTTCTTCGATAATACTTTCACTTTGCTTAAAAGAATAAATTTTTTATTCTATCTATTAAATAAATATATATGTATTTACATTAAGTTTATGAGCACCAAATTCTTCTGCAGTAAGACCAAGTAATGCTTCAGCTTCATTACGAAATACAGTTATCCATTGTGCACCAGTTGTATCAGAAATTTCAGCCTAAAATTAAATCCGATCGATAATTTTCTCTCTCAATTCAAACTATGTATTCTTCTATTGCAAGTTATTCTTATCTACATACCGAAACCATATAAGCCCATTTGAAATTATTGTAAGTCTTATTACATTTTTCACATCGATATGATCCATTATTTTCATCGACAACTTTTTTACCACATCTTTCTTCAGGACACATCTATAAAAGAAATCAATATATAAGAATTATTTCACATAGATTTATGGATTCTTACCATATAAACAGCTTGATCTTTTTTCATTAATGTACTCATAGCTTTAACACTAACATAATCAGGTTTATCACCAAGACCAAGACCTTCGGCTATAATTTGAGCTAGTGTTTTTACAGCAGCTAAAATAACAATAATACGGTAAATTAAAAGAAAAGAAAAACAAACTAACTTGGTCGATTTCCTGCATCAGCTCCCTTTGATAAATCTGGTAAATCCATTGATTTTCCTTCATTATCATACCAAACACGAAGTTCAACTGTTCGTTGTGTTTCAGTTGGATCGTGACGGATTAATGTATTATTAAAACATGATAAAGTACGACCTATAGAAAAAAAAAGCTAAATATAATTTTGTTTCAAAGATATTTTCATATTTACCGTTAAAATCGCCAATTTTAATTCCTTTAAAAGCAATAACTGGATGTGATGAACCATCGAATTCTTCAGCCTTCGAAAAAAAAAGATAAAATACAATTTATAAAAACGATTTCTATTCATAATTACTTGTTGACCCCATAATGTTACAGAAATTGAAGCTTTTTCATCAACCAAAAGTAACTCACGTTTAGTAAATTCTTTTTGGGATGCTTTACTAACGATTGTTTGCATATCCGATGTGCTCTTAACAACACCAATAACATCTAAAACATTCAATAGATATCATCGTTTTCCTATTAAATTCATTTTTACCGCAAGTAGTATTAGCGGTTCGATTTGCTACTTCACTAATTGGAATAAAATTAAATTGTACTTGTGGAATATTTTCTCCTTCACCAGCATCACAAGCTTCGATAATTGTATCATGATTAAATGTCATTTCATAATCATTATTTGTCGTATTAAATTGACGATTAGCTGCTTTTAATGATGCTTTAGCAATATAATAAACCTGAATAAAATTGAATTTTTTTGTCTTCTTCAAATGAATTATAAATAAAAAAATCAATTCATACTTCACCCATTTCAAGCATTGAATGGAATTTATCACATTCGGCATTAAATGCTGTAGCACGAATTTCACCTGATTGATCAACAAGATCACAACTGAATAATTTTCCTGGACCACGTGCATTTTCATAATTTCGAATTTGACCTTTATTACTTACACGAGCTTTAATAGTCCATCTAAAATTATGGATTTAGCAATGAAGACAATTAAAAGAACAAAACGAACTTATTCATATATGGATTAAGTGTATCGATATTTATAATTCGTTCTTTATCAATAGTATTGTTGCCGCCTCCTCCTTTTGCAGCAAAACGATTATCACCATTAGGTTTTTTTTGATTATCTAATGTTGGTAATGCTTTAGAACCTTGTCGAATGACATTAGTAGCTGGAGGAGGTGCTAGAAAACAAAAAATGTCATTCAATCGGATGAAGATTAAAACTGATTGAAGTTTTTTTCTGAAATAATTATCTCATACCTGCAGCAGCTGGAGGAGGTGCTTGTGCTTGATTATTATTCACTGTTTCTAAAAAAAATCATCAATAAAGTTCTTGTTTTTTCTCTCAATAAAATTTTTTCGTATTATACCTAAACGATTTGTACCATTACCATTATTATTAATAATATCAGTTAATGGTAATGCAACTGGATCTCCAATTCGTTCACAATCACTTTGTAATACTTCAAGCTCATAAAGCATCAGCATAACTCTATTAGATTAGATAATTGTATATGAGAAATTTATATTCATATTATTATTTACCGTCCATTTTGTTTATCAATTGAATTAACCATGACACGATCGATGCGTACAATAGAATTTTCTTTTAATGAATTTGTTTCAATTAATTTATTCATTTGAGTACCAAGCATACATGCTAAATAAATTAGGAATTTTTTGTCTAAGAAAATTTATTTGAGATTAATGTTTTCTTACATGAAAATGTAGCTTTTCCATCAGATAACATAAGACGATAACGTTTCGAAGCACCCGATGGATCGTCTGTTTTACTATCAATTGTTTTAATACCCTAAGAAAATTTATAACAAACAAAAAAATTTAATAATTAACCCAAAAAAAATACATACGACAACTTGTAATGTTGCCTTTTCTGTAGTATTACCACGTAAATATCGCTATAAATATAAACTAGTTATTTAGAAAAAAACGATATTAATTATGAAGATCTATTTACTAAGAGAGAACCAGTTGTAAGTCGTTGATTAGCCATTTTATATTAATCTGAAAATAATTCTATAAAATTAACGGTATATACATGTAGAGCTGTATGTTATATGAGAAAGAAAAGAATGATCTCGTCTATAAGATATAGAAGAATAACAAAGAAATAAATATATAGAAAGAATAGCAAATAGAAAATCATAATGATAGACGGATATGTATTAAATCGACATGTGACAATAAGACTATTTAACAAAAAAAAGAAATAATAGTGTTCTATCTATCGATCTTTTCTACAGAATAGTAAGAGAAAGACAATCAACAGATAAATTCATATTTTTTAAGCACATTATATAGAGTAAAATCTGGACTTCTTTGTTTATGAATTCAATTGTTCTTTGTATATATTTTAAACTATATTTTTTTTGCTCGTAACACTTCTCTAATAATAAAATGACATGTTATCATCTTTTCGCTATTTTTAACATATATATTCAGAAGTTTATGTAATTCAACTACAGTGGGGGATTTAGGAAGGGGGGAGGCGATCACCCTCATCGCCCCTCCCTTCCAAATTTCTTTTTGATTTTTCACAGCAAAAATGAACGAAAAAATAGGTTCACACCACTTCGATTGGACTCAAACAATAGCTTTTAGCCAAAATCGCCCCCCCCCTTCCAAAATCCTAGATCCGCCACTATTGAACTATTAGAGTGAATATAAATCTATGATATTGATAGATGGTACTACCAGATCTATTGATCAAATAGCGTAGAATTGAATGGAACAAGGCAATCAAGATATCATTTATGTATAAGTGATTTGAAAATTTTTAGAAACCAAGCGGTTGTATTAGAGTTTATTAATTAGACATTATTCTGTAAAATAGACGTAATTTGCATGTGCATTCTTTAGAACATGTATTTCCGCTTGAAAAAATTATTATTATTTATAAAATTAAAATTGATCTTTCATTTTGAAGATTTTCAAATTCGTCTGTCAAATGATAAATGAAAAATCGATTGGTTTCCCTGCAATTGATAATTCCTCTAGATGGCGTTAATATATTTTAATTTAAATAAAAATTATTATATTATAAATAGAAAATTTTTATTTTTTATTCTTATTAAATAAAAATATTCGAAATCGAAATAATTTTCTTCGTAAAAATCTTACATATTGATTGGTCAATCGTATATTGTTTATTATTTATTTATTTGTTTCCTTTGCATTTTATATTAAATAACTTCTTCGTCTTTTTGAATTTGTTCTTCTAGAAGAAGTTTGTCTTTATAATAAATATGTTGCCTGTTCTTCGCTCACGTACGGGCTTGACACGTGTTGCTAATCAATTATTAGCTGCTCGTCGTCAACAAGATGCATTTCGTGTTCCTGCACAAAATTCATCAGCTGTATCTGTACTTACAGATGAACAACGTGCACACAATCTTAAAATTTGGCCAGGTAAATAGTTTATACATTATTATTTCGACTAATTATATAGGAAAAAGGATTGATGTATAGAACAAAAACGACTTAGTACAAGTTGTTTTTCTTTGACACTGTAATTCAGATAGATTTAGTTTTGGTTGATTTCTTTACTTAATAAACGATTTTTAGATGTATTTCGAGTACTTCTGTCATGTTCTAGCCCCACAAATGTACTGTTTTACTTCTCTCGTATTGTCACTATATCCAAGGACTAAAGTAGCTAGAAACTTTTTACTAGTTTAACCTTCAGAATCGTTGATAAGAAGTTAGTTTTCAAATGATAAATGATCAACTGTTGACTACACATATGTATATTAAATGAAATCTTTCAACAAGAACGATTTGTATTTTTTTTTGGTCCGAGATAATAAATACATATTCTTTTTATAAAACTTTAGGTGTTCCTGAAAGTGTTCGACCATTACCAATTGATTATTGCCCAATTGATCCATTTGAATATGATAAGATCTCTGATCAATTTAGCTCACAAGTTAAAATGTGGAAATGGTTATCTTTATTAGTTGCTATACCAGCTGTTGCTCTATTAACATATCTTAATTTAGTCGTACCACAAGACCATGTACGTCCAGAATTTAAAGATTGGGATCATTTACGACCAAAAATGAAATGGCCATTCTTAGATGGAATTCATTCACCATTTCATAGTAAATGGTTTAATGCAATTCATTATGATGGCAAAGGTTATGAAACAACTGATGCTGAATTTGAAAAAGAATTTCATGGCCATGGTAGCAAACATTAGACAATAAAAATAAATCTATATTTTTCTTTTCATCGTTTTTCTTTTTTCTTTACCTATGTACTTTTCGTTTATCGATTTAACCAAATATCCTGTAGAATACCAACACACACAACTATCTTCTCTTTCCTTCGATATTCCTAACTTTTGGTTGTATGTTTTAGATGAATATATATATTTGTTGAAGAAAGTACTTTCTATAATTATGGAAAGATGATAAATGTAAGTTACTTTCATTTATATTTGACGATTTGTTCATCATGGTTCTACTGAATGATGTAATTCTTCAAAGTCATTGAATTGATTAGAATATTACAAATAAAGTAACATATTCATTTTGAACACATAAATCACCTGCACAATAATTACGACATCATTTTAAGAATATTTCTTTGATTCATTGCACTTCATTTCTCTCTCTTTTGTAACCAGCTGTTACCTATTAAACTATCATTAATGAAAGCAAGAGGACTTGCCTTTTTTTTCTTTCTATATAGGTACTGTTTAGATATTCTGTTCCTTAGGATCAGATTGAATAAAAGTCTCGTTTTTCCTCAAATTTACTATCCAAGGTTATATTGATTGAACGTGTAATAGCAAATATAAACTTTTTATCTTTTATTGAAAAAACTTCAAGATATAATTTTTCTTTCTATTTCAAACAAAGTGTGTCAGAGTAATGAAATAGTCTATATATTTTTTTTAACATAATGAGATGCTATCAAAATAATAAATGTAGAGTAGAAAAAAAGAGAAATTTATTTTAGAGTTTTTCTTTTTCTTTTATTCTCTTATTTTTTTTTCTATTCTCATAATGAAAATATGTTTTGTTTTTAATCAATCTTTCGGTTTATTATAATCACTTAGTGATAATATGGGTGAAATATTTTAACCTTTTCATGTTATTGATTTGTTTTATTTCTAAGTAACTACCACGAAACACGTCATTTCTTTTCCATATATGGTCGAAAAGTAATGTATGTAGGCGTGTATTTACTCAGGTAGTCGTCAGTCTCAAGGACATGAATAAAGGTGCATGCGCATATAGGCAAGCATATTTTATTTTTTGTCTATTTTTTCTCTCCAGCTCTTCTTTTATAATCCTTAAAAGAACAAAAAAAGACGGTGTGATTTTAAATGATTATTTTTTCTTCTAGCAAATCGAAAAAAAAAGTTCATTGAAGATAAAATATGTATTGTCGTCATGATTGTGCAATATATATATATATAACACCTACTTACGCCATAATTTCTTTAATTTTCATTTTATCTTTTCGTTCTTTTAGATTATGCTAGACTCTACACAGAACAGCTTTTCGAGCAACCGTTCTTCCGTTCTATCGTCCGTTAAGAGTCGCAGAAAAACGCGCTCTTCTTATATTCTTTCTCGTCAAATTTCCTCCGTTTCTCCATCAAGCAACACTTTAAATCACAAACAATTTCTTCCTATTCAAAATACCTGTCGAATTAGACAATTATTATCAGTCATGAATGAATCACAATCTCATTTATACATTTAACAAATTTGACTAAAAACAAGCAATTTTCATAAGACAAAACAAAGCATACATATATATATATACAAAAAAGTTTTTTGTTCTATTCTATTTTTTATTATCAACCTATATAAATAATATTATTCCAAAACAACATGGCAACCAATGATGATCTTGATGATTTCTTTAAAAAGAAAGATCGAAAAGGACATAAACCTAAGAAACAAGCAGCTATATTAACAAACAATGAAGAATTACTTAAACAATTAGGTAAATTATAAAAATATACATAAAATTACTTATATTAAATATATTTTTTTAAAGTTATTGTGACATCAGCAACATCAGCATTTAAAGAAAATATGGATTTTGATGACGATGATGAAGATGCTTCAACTGCAAATCAAAATCGTCATCATTTTACAGCTGAATCAAATGGTATTAATGAAAATCATGATATAAATCATACAGTTATTAATAAAAGTCAACCAATTAGTAATAAAACAAAAACTACAGCAAAATTATCGGTGCAAGATAGTAATAATAATATAAATGAACAACAAACCGGTGGTAATCAACAAGATGAATGGGAAGAATTTGAAGATCCAAATTCGAAATATGATAAATTACGTTTAAAATTCGCACGTGCTGGAAATGATCAAAATAATGGTGATGAAGATGAAGATAATGGAGATTATTTCGATGATGGACATCATCATGATGGAAATACAGATGAAAATATAAATAATATTGATGGTGGTGATGATGATCGATCTTCACGTAATGCTCGACGACGTGAACAATTAAAAGAGAAACCTGTTTGGAAATTAGATCAAGTTAAGCAATCGGAATCAGTACCAACAAATGATATAACTGATTCACCTACTGAAAAAGTTGAAGAAATATCCAAACCTACGGCGGCAACAACATCATCAGCTTATCGACCACCTGCATTACGTGGTGGTAATAATGCATCCGTTACAGTTGTTAGTGGTGTTAATCAACGAACATCGAAAAAAGAAAAACCAAATTTAGCTTCAGTTGAAGATTTTCCAACACTTGGAGCAGCTGTTAATAAAAAATAATTATTGAACAGTTATCTTCATCTCTTTGCTTTTTTTTCCCTTTCATGCTTTAGTATTTATGCATCCCATTTATCGCTCTATTTCCTTATTTTTCCTATTATTAACCCTGGTATTTTTGTGTTGTTATCGTTGACATATTTTTTTTCCTCCTTTCTCCTTTTTTTGTTCATTTCCTTTTTTTTTTCTTTTAGTTTTCATTATTCATTTACTTGTTTTTCTTTGTCTCTATTTCATTTGTTACCCTTGGTCTTCTTTTTTTTTTGTTTCTTCATTTCTATTCTCACCGCTCTCCTTCTCGTTCTGTTTTTTTTCGTTATATAAGAAAAAAAGAAAACCTTGTCTCTCAGTTCGATTTAAGAGAAAAAAAATCCATTAATAAGTTGATGTCAAAAGGATGAAAAACATGTTACCTTTGTTTATCCATGAGTCAAAAGTTTATCTAATTGATAAAAAACGATAACAATATGAAAAGTTGTTTTTGAATTCTTTCTTTTTGCTGTCACAGACAATAATAAGTAAAATGTATTCATTTTCACTGATATTCATTTGTTTAATCAACAGTAAGTTATATTTTCTGTCAAAAGAATACATCATATTATGCAGATATGAATTATTTTTTAAAACTAATTGATTTTATAACATTTTGGAAGATTAGTATGACTCGGAAGTCAAATATTGAACTTGTTTTTTATGGTTTGAGATGATGATATTTGATAAATAATTATCAGCGTGTTTGAATAAATATGAAATCGATTAAATCAACTTTTAGGTCTAGTCTTCTGCATTAATTCCAGTACAACTGAATTAATTGATACTACTTTATTAACATCAGAAAGCTCATCGATTGTTTCAACATCATCATCAATACCTAGTCATAATACAACTACTTATCATCCACGTTATGAAGATACATTTAGTCCAGGATCTGTTGTAGGATTGATTATGGGTTCAGTTGCATTTATTTCCGTTATGTCACTTGGTGCATATTATATTCATCGTCCACGAATTAATTATCTGCCCTATTATAATAATAATAATGATTCTACAGTTTAATTTCATTTAATAAATATTTTTTCTATCTTTTGTCATAAAGATAATGAGTGTCAGAAATTTTTTTTTAATGAAAAATTATTGTTTAATAATTCTTTATCTTATAAAAACGGCAGTATTTTTTCTAAGTAGATTATAAATGTATAAAAAATGTAATTATTTCCCCATTGAATTTTACTACTTGATAAAGTCATCAAAATCGATAAAATTTCTTATTTATCTTTCTTCTTCTGCTTTGTCCTCTTGCTTCTTGTACGTTGCATGTACAAATGTTCTTTCATTAAATCGAAGTCATCATCCAGAAAAAGTCTGACATATGTCATTGATTATATTTCGACTAATATATTTATTTTTAACAAAAATTTCCTTACAATCATCAATATTTGCTCTATCCGCTGATATAAAAACTCATGAACTTGGTGATATTACATTACTATTAGATGAATTTCCATCTATCATTGAGAAAATCGAACAAACTGGTATGTTGCTTAAATATATTTATTTTTTTCAGCAATACCTGTCTGTTCGTAAAACTGTCGGGAAGTTGAATTATACAATAACCTTTTATGTTTCTTCTCTAGTTAATCGATATCGTTGTCCAAAAGGATGGAAACGTGTAGGTATTTCATGTTATTATCTATCCAATATAACATCAACATCTATTCATGCAAATTATACATGTAATCTTCTTCATTCCAATCTTTCAAATCTTATACAAATAAAAAATACAATTCAACTTTTCTATGCTGCTCATTTATTAATAAAAAATAACTTATCATCATTAATTATTAATATCCATCCAAATTTACTACAAGGTAAATATTATATTACATTTCTAACATAAATATTTCTTTTAAATAATGATTAAGATTTCTTGGGAAAACCAATTTCTCAAATTTTGAGCAATGATCAACAGCAATGGCAACAAATCAAAGAAAAGTTTTATCAAATAAAAATAAAATATGAAAAATTGAAAGTAAAAATAGTTAGACAATTAGCTTCAGCTGGTTTTAAAATCTTGCGACGTACAAAAAAAATAATACAAAATGAAATTGATTATAATGAAATTGATTTCACAGATGAAAATGATACATTTGATGAAATAGAAAATATTCATAATATTTGTGATAGAATTGATTGGAATATTCGAAATAATAATGCAACGACTTTTATTTTAATAACATATATTGAATTAGATAAAACGATTTGTTCATTAAGTGATGTTGACAATGATCGAAAATATAATATCGTTTGTGAATATGGTTTGTATGATAATATTGATTTTATTTTTGTTATTTTATTTCTGGTTTAGTGCTTGATTTTTGTCTTGGAAATATCATATGTGGTAAACATGGGCAGTGTATGAATATCATAGGAGGTTTTGAATGTTCATGTTCATTTTTATATGGTGGTCTTCTCTGTGAAAAAAGTATGTAAATAATCATGTAATATTAAGGATTTGTTAGAACTCTTCCATTTTTTCCTATAATCATCTTGCATAAATAAATAAAATTTTATTCATATTGATTGTCCTAAATAGTATTGTCATTTTATTAATGATTTCCATTATAATAAAATGTCATTTCTTTAAAAATGAATGATTTTTAGTTTCACAACAAGGTCGACAAATTCTTATCAGTTGTGTTATTATTATAATTCTTGCTGGTTTATCTTTGAAACCAGTTCAACAGTTTCTTTGGTTAATCATGAAGTTATTAATCAAGTAAATCATTTTATTATGAGAACTAGAAATTATCGATATTTTTCTTGGTATAGAATTTTGAAAATTTGCAGAAAAGTATTAAAACGTAATGATCAAAAAGGACAAATAATTAATTTTATAAAGTAAATATCAACTTTTAATGTTTTGTATAACAAAATTGTATGTTTTGTACAGATTAGAACAAATTCAGATTAAGATTAGTGAACATAAAAAAATTAGGTAAAACTATATTCATATTTCAATCTGAAATTTTTTTATTTTTCAAGAATTCCACATTCATTATCAAGTCCAATTAAACATAATATTATTCGTGATATTCTAGTTGGTTTTTTAAGTATATTAGTTTTATCATTCTTATTTATAATGATAACAATAAGATATTATAAATTATTTCAAATCGATAGATTTGACCATATAAATTTAGAAATTTTAGTTAATCATACATTTCGTTTAATAAAACAATGTGAACATATATCAGATTATCGAAGAGGACATATAATATTTGCTCCATTTGCATTACTATTAATACTCATTTTTTCATATTTAACTAAACGAAGAAATTCATGTCTAAATATATGTAAGATTTAATTTTGTATGACATATAGAATTGATTTTGTTTGTTTAGCTTTGATATCTCCTATTGAACCGTTTCGTATTGAAAATCGTTTTATAACTGCAACTGTTTTTGGAATTCTTACTTATGAAGTATTAAAAATATTCGAAGAACTTCTTTTTAGATTAGATCAAACATTCATTCATGGTGTACTTATTGAATTACTTGTGAGAATTGGAACTATTATTCTTGTCGGGTAGATTCCTATTTTAAAAGTAAAAAATAATTATCATTTTCGCTTTTGAATTTTTTTTAGATTTCGATATTATCCAATACTTGCTTCTTTACATCTACATAATGTCATTGCACGTTTTCTTGCTTGTTTATATATTATTGGTGATGTCGGATATACGATTATACGAGAAGGATCATGTATGGGTTTTCTGTTATATTCAAGACAATATACAGCATTTGAAGAAGCAAAACTTCGACTCGTATGTATAATTAGTATTTGTCTTACAAGATGATAAATAACTTTGGAACTCGGAGTAGTCTAAACTGATTCATCTCCTTATTGATTTGGATCTGTAATACTAGAACAAACTCAATGTTTCAGATCCAAAGTCATTCATTGACTGTTGCTATTCTCATACGTTGTTATAGGTCAGAAAGTCAGTAAATAGTCATAAGTCCCTCCCAGAGCATTTCACTATACTCACTAGGATCTACAGAATAAAACCAGTCTGAGTTCAAAAGCTCTGTGTTATATTTGTAGGAACTGGGTACATGGTTCATAGTCTATGGTTTAATTAAATATACACCACATTTCTTTTTTCTTTCGTATCTTACTGCTGAATTATTTGTACGTTTTGCATATGATTCTATATATGTACCGATAAAAATGAAGAAATCTATATGGACAATGTCTGATGAAGAAACGAATGAATCGAAAATGGCAAAATTTTATGTTACAAAATTATTTCGACGTAAATTAATCATGAAAAACAATACAAATAAAAATTGTCAACAATATTTTCGAAAGTTTCTTAAGTTTATTTTTAAATGGCAAGATGATATTTATTGTACAACAATGGTTATATGTACATATACAGTAGCTAGTATTTTTCTCTATTATCTAGCATGTACATTCGTTTTTCTTTATCTATCACGAATAACAGAATATATTTCATTTATAAATTCTTATATTCCATCATCAATAAATATTAGTAAGAATTTAATTTATTGAGTTTACTTTTTTTTTTATATTATTCATATAGAATTAAAAGAATCATCTTCTTTAAAACTCGAAATCATAGTGAGTGCAATTTTAACTGTAATTATCTATGGTTTTCAATTATTTTTTGGAATACAACGTTATAAAAGATTTAAAAAAGATTTATATTTGGGTAAAAATCTTGAAATACCATCTATAAAGTATTTTGAACCGAATTCAATCGCATCAAATTCTGTACATTATTCCGGTTTTCTTGTTGGTTATCTCGCCTGGGGTTTTGTTATTTGCTTTCATTTAATACTTTTAATAACAATAGCAATAAAAATTGTATCATTACAAATTCGTCATATTGAAATCATACTTACAATTATTGTGCCTATATTTATTATTTACTTTTTGAAAATGTTTAGTATTAAGTTGATGGGAAAATTTTTATTTACTCATAAACCAGATGAAGGACTTATTTTAAAAAACTATACAATATTTATTTATTTTAGTTTTTTTGCTGGTAAGTTAAAGTTGGTTTATTTTTGAGTATAAAAATATGTTTTATTGAAGATTGTTTTCTTGGTATTGCATCATGTATTATTCGTTTAATTAAAACAATAATTCTTAATACAATATTTATGGCTCGACTTGATTATAGTTTTCTTGGGAAACCATTGGAAAAATTTGGTAAAATACTCATAAGAGATGAATATCTATTTTTTCATTCTAAATATAATAACATCATAACCTTTTCACATATCGTATTTCAGATACTGGTTTTGCTGCTTATATTTCACACTTGCACATGGAAGTTAATCATTCACATCCGATAAAACTCGGTTAGTTTTATTAATGAAAATAAGATAGGATTTAATTTTTTCCTTTTTTAGCTTTTTGCTATTCATTATTGGATACAATACATAGACGACGAAGCAAGTTTTATGATGGAAGATATTGTACAACTTTTTATGAATGTAATAATAATAGTAAACTCAAGGAATGGAAAGAGAATCAGCTTGAGCAGAACAGAATAAATTCGTCCTTAAACATATATAAACGAATAAATAACAGTGAATCAATAGAGAATATTAATCATGACGAATACGCGCCCGAAACGAAAAAAAGATCACATGCGTCAATACGCCTACAACAAAATGATTCATCCTCAATCTTGATACATGAGAACAGATTCGCAACAGTTACATTTAATATAAATGACGATAACATAAAGCTTCCACTAACAAAAATAATGTCAAACACAACAACGCAAAATACATCTACAGTAAGAAAAAAAAATCATTTTATTTTTTTTCCCTCGATCTCCTAATTTATTCATAGGTGCCCAATAAAAATAATCATTCAACAGCAGTGATTTCATCGACCGTTTCAAAACAACCGCAAATGCCAAATTCAATTGTTAATGTAAATAAAACTACAAGTAATCAAAATGATGATCTTGATGATGATGGTGGTGTACATCCAAAGAAAATTGCAAAGAAAAAACAAGAAGAAATAGATAAGAAAAAGGCAAAAGAAGAATTAAAAAAGAAGAAACAATCAATTTTTGTACAAGATATGGATGATGAAGATGAAGATGGTGGAATAATAAATCAAAAACCTAAAGTCGAACCAACAAAAGTCAAGAAAAAATCGAAATTGACTTTATGTTTTCATCATGAAGATGACGATGAAAATAATGGTGTATCGAAAAATGAAAAGAAAAAACAAGCATTAAACGATAAGAAAACCCGTGAAGACGAAGATGAAGACGAAGACGGTGGTATATCGAAAGAAAAAATATTAGCACTTGAAAAGAAAAAACAAGCATCCGAAGAAAAGAAAAAGAAAGTCAAGCCAACGACAGTTAAAAAGCATGAAGATGATGATGAAGATGAAGACGGTGGTGTATCGAAAGAAAAAATACTAGCACTTGAAAAGAAAAAACAAGAATTGGAAGAAAAGAAAAAGAATGGTGAATCAAAACAACAAAAATCGAAAAAAGATATTCCAAAAGAAAAAGATAATTCCGATGAAGATGAAGATGGAGGTCGTATTGTTAAAACTTATGATTCAATTAAAAAGATTATTCCAACTACACAACCTGTGTTAAACAATCCATCAACAAAGAAAAACTCATCATCAGATAATATCAATGATGGAGGTCATATTGTTAAAACTTATGATACAATTAAAAAGATTATTCCATCTGCACAACCTGTATTACACGATTCATCAACAAAGAAAAACTCATCATCGGATAATATCGATGATGATGCTGTGAAAGTACCAAAAAATAAAAAAAATACAACTTCAACATCATATAATGTCATTCGTGAACTAGTACCAAAGAAAATAGATACTATTGAAAACAAAAAATCTAAAATTATAGAGAAAGATCATGTTGATATAGTTCCAACAGTAGCAACTGATATTTCAGCACCGAATTCTCCAACAGAAAAAACAAATAATGTAGTTTTCTTACGAAGATTATCATATCGTGAGGCTCAACATCGTTCACCACCAGCTGTTTCACATCGATTAAATATTTCCTCTTCATTAAACAATACAACAACTACAAAGGACTCTGATAATCATTATTCTGATATAACAATTGATAAAATTCAACAAGCTTTTACCAATCATCTTTATTCAGTAGTTAATTCAAGTCAACCATCACCAAATAAACAAACAGTTTCGAAAGAAAATCATTCTGATACTATAAAAATTGAAATTGACGAGAAAATAAAACGAAGAAAAATTGCTCGTACACGATGGTATCTTGCGTATACACTTCTTCGAAATCCTCATCTATTTGATCTAAGAAAAAATATCGAAACTCGACTTATATTCGTACATTCACATGCAAGTATTGCAGTTGATGAACAACTATTAACATCTATAATTACTGATCAAGAATCACAATCAACTGAAGAATCTCGATTAACGTAAGTTTTTACATATTCTAACAAAAAGAAAATATATTTATCCGATGTCTAGAACTAATGCAACAACAACAACACTTCAGACAGAACCTCCAACAATTTTTCATTTACCATCTATTTCTAATATCGATGGACAATTGCAAAGTCCAGCGGAACGATATATTTCAATTCAAGCACAAACAATGTATAATACTAATAATCAGCAATCAGATGTGTTACAAGAAAACAATATATCAAATACGAATCAATCTATAGATGATTGTCTATCTACAATAATTTCAGATTCATCTACACTTCGTACACAAACAAATCATGAACATCATATGCGAGGATGGTATGATAATGAAGTGAAAAAAATTCATAAAAAACATCCATTTTGTTATGTCTATGGGTCACCATCCCAATCATCATCAGCAAATAGAGTTTCTACTGTTACGATACTTACACCGAAAACTCTTTCTCCAACAACGATAAACAATGATAAAACTCATTTGGAATCAAATACATCAGATAGTCAATCGTCCAATATAACAAGTGAAGTACAGAACGTATCAGTTTCTAGTAGAAATCATGATCCACCAAACGAACAGCATCAATGAATATGTTAATATTTGTATTTTTTGTAAATATTTTTACTTTGAAAAAAAAACTTCCATCGATATAATAAATGATGAATGAAGGAGAAATTTTTTTTATTTCGGACTTATAATAGATGACCTATTATCAAATTAAAATATATATTAGAAAGTGTCAAAGAAATTTAACTTTTATGTTTGTTGTTAATGACAGAAAAGAAGCACATCGAACGTATTTTAACAAGAATACGATATAAGTCTTCCACGAGAGTATTATATCACATGAAAAGTAAAGAAATTGTAATATACACTTACAGTATTCTTTCATTATTCAAAACTGAAGGAATATTTTATACTACAGCATATATATAACAAGAATTCATATAGTTTACTTAGTTGTGACAATATAATTATGAAAAAACAACATTAACTTACTAATCATGACATCGATTCTTCAAATTTATCAGTTTTAACAATTTTTTTCAAAAAATAAATATCTTCCTATAAGATTTTTTATGATCCATACATTACCAATCAAACATAACATGTGTAGGGTACAGAAAATTAAAAGTAAATAGGAATGTGATAAGAAACTTGATATTTATTAAATTTTTTTATAGATATACTAACAATATGTTTTACGTCAAGATTTATTCTTTTTTTCTACTGATTATGTATTTGCCATGATTGACACGTTCTTTAACAATAAAAATAAATTATAGGTTACACATGAATGTCAAGAAGAAAGTTTTATGATTTGTTGCCATTCATCAGAAGAGTTATTGTATATAAATGCTACAAATTAAACGTACTTTTAAGAAATAATATGTCTAACAAAAAAATGAGCGTGATTTTTGAAGTATGATTATTTATGAATTTAAAACCAAATAATCTACTTTCTTGTCAGGATAAAACCTTGTACAAACTGACTATTAATTTAAATTAGTTTACAAGTCTTGATCATGTGAAATCTATTATGTAACTAACCGCACTTTTTTTCAAATTTAAAGGAGATTATAATTACTAGATTTGACCTCGATTTGTATACAATCATTTTCTTGGCTTCGATCAATTCAATAAATATTCATTTCAAAAGATTAAATTCCATCTTTTATAGCTTACTTTCTATTTAATGAATTATTTCATAGAATATATATATTATATAATTGTTCTTTTAGACACCTAGTTATTAATCGATTAACAAAAATAATGTTTATGTTAATAATGAATAGAGACAAAGCATTGAGCACGAACAATACAAATTGTGCTTTTCTCTACATGACTGTTACTTTCTTTTCAAAAACATTCACAGTCAATATTTGCTCGAAATTATAATACATTAGTCTCTATCACTTTGTTCAATCTTAATACATAGTAATTGAATAGTGTTGATTGATTAGTAATTCGTTGCAGGCAAAAGCTAACCTTTTTTTTCTATTTTACTTATTGATACTGTATAAATACTTCTGTTCGATAGACATTGCAGACTGATCGAGAAGAAAAGCGGTCAGAATAGAATGATGTGGCACATGAGTAGATACAAATATACATAAATAATATCAATGAGTTTGCACAGATGTACGTCTCGATATGTATGAATGAGGAAAAAAAAGAGAGAGAGAGAGAGAGAAGGAAGGTAATGAACTTGTAACCAATGCCAATATTTCTCTATTGTCAAAAAGGCTCATTTACTATGCGTTGTTCCTTTTTTTCTGTTCTACAACAGCTAGCAAACATGCTCAAGTATTATTTTTTTTTCTCTCTCTCTTTCTTTCAGCCTTATTCCAAGAGTGCAATAACGTTACTTATTCATTTTTCTTTTCTTGTTCTTTCTCCTATATTTTTTTTTTGTCTTTTTTAGTCACCCGTTCTATTACGAGGACTCTGTTATTGTCGTATAGAGTCACATTTTTTACTCATTGATAGTAGTAAATATTCTGCTCATCTTCATTTTTTTATCACATGTTCAAAATATAAATGAATCAATCTGAACATTCAACTTGTCATCTACTATTTAGAACTTCCATTCATCTTTTGTTTACAAGTATTTTAAAAGAATAACATCAACAATAACTGTTTAACGCATGCTGTTGAAGATTTTCTTTTTGGCATGCTTACTTTTGATTAAATTTCTCATACAATCTACTACATGTGCTGTGCCAACTAATATACAAACTCTTGAACTTGATGATATTACGCCACTATGGGATAAATTTTCATCTATTATTGACAAAATCAAAGAAGCTGGTATGTTATGTATATATGATAAGAACGAAGGTCATATATTTCAAGGAAATATAAAAATGAATATTTTTCTATTTTTTGAAAATTTTTCGATATTATCATTGTATTCAATGAAAATTCATTAAATGTTAATGATCGAGATTGTATCGACGCAAAAATATCAGCTCAGATTACTAATGATATATTAGACTCATAGGTTAATTGCATGTGAAGAACAATATAAAATATCACATGAACAAAAGAGAGTTGTTTCATTCGACATTTGATGAAAAAAAATGTAATTGATCTAATTTATATCGACTATGAAAATATATTAATCTCTTCTTTATCGATTAACAAAAAAAAACATTTTGTCAAATATGTGATCTTATCAATATTTTTTTTTCTCTAGTTAATCGATATCGTTGTCCAAAAGGATGGAAACGTGTAGGTATTTCATGTTATTATCTATCCAATATCACATCAACATCTATTCATGCAAATTATACATGTAATCTTCTTCATTCCAATCTTTCAAATCTCATACAAATAAAAAATACAATTCAACTTTTCTATGCTGCTCATTTATTAATAAAAAATAACTTATCATCATTAATTATTAATATTCATCCAAATTTACTACAAGGTAAATATTATATTACATTTCTAACATAAATATTTCTTTTAAATAATGATTAAGATTTCTTGGGAAAACCAATTTCTCAAATTTTGAGCAATGATCAACAGCAATGGCAACTAATCAAAGAAAAGTTTTATCAAATAAAAATAAAATATGAAAAATTAAAAGTGAAGATTGTTAAACAATTAGCTTCAGCTGGTTTTAAAATCTTAAGGCGTACAAAAAAAATAATACGAAATGAAATTGATTACAATGAATATGAAGATGATTTTAATGATAGACAACAATTAGATTTTGAATATAATGAAACATTGTTTGATAATAATGATGAATATGAATATGATGAAATTGATTTCTCAGATGAAAATGATACATTTGATGAAATAGAAAATATTTATAACATCTGTGATCGAATTGATTGGAATGTTCGAAATAATAATGCAACGACTTTTATTTTAATAACATATATTGAGCTAGATAAAACGATTTGTTCATTAAGTGATGTTGACAATGATCGAAAATATAATATTGTTTGTGAATATGGTTTGTATGATAATATTGATTTTATTTTTGTTATTATATTTGTAATTTAGTACTTGATTTTTGTCTTGGAAATATCATATGTGGTAAACATGGTCAATGTATGAATATAATCGGAGGTTTTAAATGTTCATGTTCATTTTTATATGGTGGCCTTCTTTGTGAAAAAGGTATCTAAATAAAAAATTGAATTTGATTTTTTTTTGAAGTATATTTTAGTCTCGGAACATGGTAGACAAATTATAATTAGTATTGTTATTATTCTTATTCTTTTTGCATTATCTATCAAATGGATTCGAAAATATCTATGGAAGATAATAAAAGCTGTAATCAGGTAAGTTATTTGTTTATAAATTGTCTTATTTTTTTTATGTATATTTCTTTCTGATAGATGCTGTAAAAAACTTTGTGTATTATATACAGAGTCGAAACAAAATACTAATGACGACAAACAACAATTAGTAGACGGGAAAAAGTAATTTTTCTAATTTTTGTTACAAATTTTCATAATATTTATTATAAAGATTAGATAACAATGGTAGAATTAATACGACACCTCAAATATCAAGACGTCGTCCAACTTTAGCACAAGAAATCATCGAATTTTTGTAAGTTGTTGATATAATCTATTACAAACTCAATATTTTCCTATATTTCAATATATTAGACGACAAATATATCGATGCATAACGTATGCAATATAGCTTTTTATTTCATATTAAAAACTGCACTTAATCTCGCTGATTTTTTTATTAATGTAGAAATAATACTAATTAATTTTAAAAAATATTTTTTGCATTTTATATATATTTTTTTTCTTCTATTATTTAGTTTACCAAAAATATCAAATCCATTATTAAATCCAGTAAAACGTAATCTCGTTCGTACGATATGGGTTGGAATTTTAACTATATTCTTTGCATCTGTATTATTTATATCAACATCATTTATGTATTTTATGTCATTTGGATATAATCTAAATGATGATCGAGATGAAGAATTCTCAATTAATGATACAATTCGTTTAGTAACACAATGTGAACATATATCAGATTATCGAAGAGGAAATATTATATTTGCACCATTTGCACTTTCATTAATACTTATTTTTTCTTGGTCATTAAAACGAGAAGAACATTGTTTAAAGATGTGCGACGGTCGACCTGGTAAAATCTGATAGAATTTCATATTATCTATAGGTAGAAAATCTATTTATTTAGCTTTGATACCACCTATTGAACCATTTCGTACAGGAAATCGTTTTACAACTGCAACTACATTTGGAATTCTTGCATTTGAAGTATTAAAAATTTTTGAAGGATTACTTTTTAGTACTGGTCTACCATTACATCAAGGTGTACTTATAGAATTATTAGAACGAATAGCACTTGTCATTCTTGTTGGACTTCGTTATTATCCGGTGCTTGCTTCTCTACAATTACGAAGTATCGTTGTTCGTTGTTTTAGTTGTATATATATTATCTGTGATATGATATATACAATTGTACGAGAAGGTTCATGTATGGGTTATCTACCATTATCAGGACATTATACACTTTTAGAAGAAGCAAAACTTCGAAAGGTAAGACTAAAGTTATACTTTATATCTATTGACTATTCTTTTGCAGGAACTTGGTACTTGGTTTATTGTTTATGGATTAATAAAAAATATTCCACATTTTTTTCTTCTTTCATATTTAACTGCTGAATTATGTATACGTTTTATATACGATTCAATTTATATTCCATTTAAAAAAAAGACGAGTATATGGATATCACCTATTGTACAATCTGATGAATCAGAATTTGCAAAATATTATGTTACAAAATTATTTCGACGTAATACTCAATCTATTCCAATAACATCCTGTCAAAATTTAAATACAAATCCTGATAATCTAGATGATCATGTACATGAAGCTGATTTACAAAATAAAATGAATCAATCACGTGTTAAAAAATTTTTTGATTCTATTTATCAATCCGATGATGATTTTCGTTTTACAACAATTGCTACATGTACATATACAGTAGCTATAGTTTTTCTCTATTATTTAGCATGTACATTCGTTTTTCTGTATTTATCACGAACAACAGGACATATTTCTTATTTAAAATTCTATATTGAAACAACATTCGATATTGGTTAGTTTTTATCTCTTTCTCTAAAAACAAAATATTTACTAATAATCATTTAGATTTAGGTGTATTTTCGTTAAATCTTGAAATAATAGTCAGTGTAACTTTTACTGTAATTATCTATGGATGTCAATTATTTATTGGAATGCAAAATTATAAAAGACATAAATTACAATTATATAGAGGTATATATGTTGATGTTCCATCAATAATTAATTTTAAACCAAGTTCAATAGCATCAAATTCTGTACATTATTCCGGTTTTCTTGTTGGTTATCTTGCCTGGGGTTTTGTTATTTGTTTTCATTTAATACTTTTAATAACAATAGCAATAAAAATTGTATGGTTACAAATTCGTCATATTGAAATTATACTTACAATTGTTGTACCTGTACTTGTTATTTATTTTTTAAAAATGCTTAGTATGAGATCAGCAGGAAAATTTTTATTTATACAACAATTGGATGATAAACTTAATTTAAAAAGTCGAAAAACTTATGCATTATTTATTTATTTTAGTTTTTTTGCTGGTAAGTTAAAGTTGATTTATTTTCGAGTATAAAAATATGTTTTATTGAAGATTGTTTTCTTGGTATTGCATCATGTATTATTCGTTTGATTAAAGCAACATTTCTTAATGTAGTATTTATGGCTCGACTTGATTGGAGTTTTCTTGGACGACCATTAGAAAAATTTGATCTTGGTTTTGCTGCTTATATCTCATATTTACATATGGAGGTAACATATACAAATCCTGTAATGCTTGGTTAGTTTATAAAATATAGAAATGAAATTTATTTTGTTATTTTTTTTCCAGCTTTTTGTTATTCACTTTTTGATGATATTGTAAAAAAACGTCCAAAACATTGTTATGATGATGAATGTTGTATTGCTCCAGGTGAACTTGACGATGAAATAGAACTACTACAACTTAAGAACAATAACCCTAATAGAGATAAACCAATGTCAAAACAACATCTACAAGATCTTCCAAGCGTAGAAATAAAATCTGAGATTGCTAAAGAAGATCAAAAACGTCTCAATAGAAGAACAGAACAACAGGCACTGAATATTGCTCCCAAAATATCAAAACAAGTAGGCAAAACCAGTAAAAGTAAGAAGAGAAAATTAGCAACATCACAAAGTCCTGGTGATGATGACGATAATGATCTATCAAAACTTAGAAAAACAGCTGATAAAGATAAATACACTACAATTCCAACAGAACATGATTTTAATAATCAAGGAGCAATATCCTCTTGTTCATCATCAGAAAATTTAACAACCGATCGTTCTGATTTACATCTCTTACGAACTAAATCTTATCGTGACGCTCATCAAAGTATATCACCACTTATTTTGCATCGACCAAACATATATTCGACGTTAAATAATGATAGTAGTTCTAATTCTCAAAAAACAGCTGTTAGTAATCGTTCTTATTCAAAAATTAGATTACAACAAATAGTAAAAGATGAAAAACAAAATGTTGAAACTGACGATGATGAAGAAGAAGAAGAAGAAGAAGAAGAAGACGACGACGACGACGAGCATGATAACGATCATCTTTTACCATCACGACAAAATTTTCAAGCAAATCAATCAACAACTGATTCCACGACTAATAGTCCAACTAAATCACTAACCGTTGATGAGAAGATAAGAAAAAAACAATTACGTTTTCGTTGGCATTTTCTCTATACAATTATTAGAAATTATCATTTATTTGATTTAAGAAAAGATGTACAAGGTCGATTGACTCGTTTACATTTGCAAAGAAGTAATCTAATAGATGAACAACAATTTTCAACGACTGCTGCAGTGCAACCAATGGAATATACTACTGTTGTGCCTGAACCTTTAGAGAGAACAACACGTACAGAAGAACGGTTAGTATATCCTATTTTCAACTAATCACATAACTTGTTTGTTTTTAGCATTATCGATAGATCGTCTGTGTCAGTCACGCCTGCATCGATTACTTCAAGACCTTCATCTATTCATCGTGTAGTATCAATAAATGTACCTGTATTAAACGAATATCCATCAAGTCCTGCTGAGCGATATATTGCAATTCGTGCACAAATGTTATACGATGCTAATACTCAAGCACCAAATGCACCATACAATTCAACTACATCACAAACACCGATAACTGCTTCATCATTCACTCAAAAACTACGATCTTCTGTGATTGACACTTCTAATAATCATAGTCTTGGATTTCATATTTCATCACCTAATATTACTATTCACCCACCATCTGACTCTAGTACTAGATCAAGACAAACACAAACAACTGATCATCGTACACCAATATTATTTCAACCTGCATCTGCCTCAAATCAATCTACAGCTGATTATCCATTAGCTGCTTCTTCCGTTGCAAATTCAACAACACTTCGTACACAGATGAGTCATGATCAACATATGCAAGTATGGCGTCAAGATCAAATGGGAAAGATACAGAAAAAACAACGACATTGCTATATCTATGGTCAGCCACCACAAACACCATTAGGTGATAAAGTTTCTACTGCTGCTATTCTTACACCACAAATTCTTTCAACATCAACTATACAGCAACAAGGTTCATCAGTATTTGATGATAGTGAGACTGGACGAAGACCAACTATCTCACCATTTCAGTTTCCACAGGCATCAAATCAAGTGCGTAATACTCAATTGATAGCTAATAATCAAAACTTAAAAACAACACGTCATCAACAAGGAATTCCTAAACCACCACCTCGTATGGATCGTCTTGATGAAGATCCTCATGAGATATCTACTGCAAACAAATCAAAAACAACAACAACATCAGTATTAATTCATGAAGAGAATTCTCACAGTGATACATCAGATACGACTTAGTATTGTTATATTACATAAGCGTTTTAGTTATGTAAAATTTTTGTTTTCAATGCTTCTTATTTTCATACTCAGGGTTTTTTTTATGTGAGTCTATGTGATGCGCACAAATGATTGAATACAAAGAATTATTGTTTTAAGTATAATAAAACAGAAGTTACAATCAAAACATAAAATATTTAAAATAATTTTATATTGTTGAATTAAATAATGGTAAATTGTTGATGAGTCAAGTTTTGATCAATTATTAGTATCGAATACATCGTTTATTTATGTTTTAAATTGATAATCATCGATTGAAATTGGAATTTGTGGGCATGGGTGTAGGTGCGTGTCGTCTAAGTGTGAGTATGCATTCGAGAGGAGTATAACATCCACAATCACACCCTTTAGCATAATATTTATTGAAGAAGAAACGAGTCAAAAGTCGTGAATATACTTAATTTATTTGAAATGATTTATATAGTTCTGTACTGTTCAAAGGTTCACCATCATAAACTCCTCCAGTAACGAGCACATTTCCATTTGCTAATACGGATGCTGTATGATCACCTCGTGCATTACTCATCCTATCAATAATTGTCCATGTTTCAGTTGATGGATCATACAATTCAGCAGTATCTAGAGGATAATGGTGAAATCCACCAGTAACCAATATTTTTCCATTGTTTAATACGGATGATGTGTGTTTCCATCGCGGATAATTCATGCTACCAGTGATTGCCCACGTTGCATTTGATGGATCATATAATTCAGCACTGTTTCGATTAAAATTATAGTTCGATCCACCAGTAACCAAAACTTTTCCATTTATTAATACAGAAGCTGCGAATTGAATTCGTGTATAATTCATGCTATCAGTAGTTGTCCAAGTCTCTGTTGATGAGTCATACAATTCGCCACTATGTAAACGATCAAAACTATTATATCCACCAGCAACTAATACTTTTCCATTTGTTAATACGGATATTATGTGTTCAGCTCGTGTATCAGTCATACTACCAGTAATCGTCCAAATTTCTGTTGATGGATCATATAACTCAGTACTATTGAGAAAATCCTGATTATTAAGTCCACCAGTAACTAACACTTTTCCATTCATCAACACGGCTGCTGTGTGCTTAGCTCGTGCATTACTCATGCTACCAGTAATTGTCCAAACTCCTGTTGATGGATCATATAACTCAGTACTATTTAGATAACCTTGATTGTTAAGTCCACCAGTAACTAACACTTTTCCATTCGCCAATACAGATGCTGTGTGTTCAGCGCGCTTATTATTCATGCTACCAGTGATTGTCCAAGTTTGTGTTAATGGATCGTATAATTCAGTACTATTTAGAAAACCTTGATTATTAAGTCCACCAGTAACTAAAACTTTTCCATTCGCTAATACAGATGCTGTATGTGTTCGTCGGGCATAATTCAGATCACCAGTTTTAGACCAATCTATATGAAAAAATTTGAATGCTTTTATCCTGAAACAAAGTTTATAGTGAAACACTCACGATCGTCTAATCATAAGCAAATATTTTCAGGGTGTGAGTGAGTATGGATTTTGAATACGTACACCCACACCCTAATATTTTGTTTTTCAATAAAAAACTATGTGTAAATAACGATAGAAATTTTATCAGTATGCATTCCTCTGTAATTGGTTCTCTATCTCTAATCTGTTATCTAATGAGGACAGCAAATCAAGATCATAAAAGAGTAATGCTTTTTATTTCAAATACGAATTTGGTAAATCTTTAAAGAAGTGTCCACACGTTTCAGGTTCTTAGTGCGTTATAACATTTCGAAATGATCTAATTTATAGGAGAGAAAACCTCTGCTGATTATTCTTTTCATTTCTAATTAAAAAAACTAGAGGAGAAAGTTAAATTCTTCTGAAAAATATATCAGTTAATGCTCGGTGCTGAGACAAATTGAGTAAAGATCTTTTTACTGTAGAATTTAGCCTGTGTCATCGACTAAATACTAGTTTACATAAAAATGGTAGAATTAGGAAAAAAATTACTAGTACGTGAAAATAAGAAACACTATATTTTTTAGTCAAACTTCTCTTAAGTAATCAATCAATTAAATAATAGTACTCTTCGATATTAATGGCTAAATATATGAATGAACTAGTCAAAAAATATTTTTACAATGAATTTAAGACACCGGATTTTGAGATTCTGTAGAAATGTTATTGAGTTTTAAAGATTTAATAGAGCTCGATCTCACTTTGTCAAACAAAATAAGTCTCAATAGTGAGGAAAAATCATCAATATGAACATTACCATTTTACCTTATGGCCGAAAGTGAATCACTCATGATTAAATGACTAATCCTTTTTATAAAATTTTTAGTCTAATATACTGATTCAACAGTAGCATTCAGGAAGGTGGAAAAATGTTACTCTAAAAATTTACCTGACTGTTGAGTAGTAGTAGTAGTGGTTGTTACTGTTGTCATTGACGTTGTACTACTGGTAGTAGTGTTGATAGTGGTTTTTGACTTCTCCGGTTTAAAAATATAGAAGTGTAAAATCAGAGCGAGCGTGACTATAAGAATTGTTAAAACGATGAATGATATGCCAATAATTCTAACCCACTGATTAGCCCACCATTTCGTTGGGCTATTATTGACAGTAGCTTCCTCGACGTACAACTGACTACGACGCATACGTTATTTCTTAAAAAACTCAAACTTGAAAAAAAAATAACAAACTGTTGTCCAAACCAACTTTATATTGTGTATTACTCACAAAAGTAACAAAAGATAAGTTATATTATCTACTGTTAGTTTCATAGTAGAGAAATGAAAGGGACATCAATGAAAGAGAATGAAAGAAAGAGAAATGGAGAAAAAGATGAAGTTCGTGCGACTCGAACCCACACCTTCTGCTATCTAGGCAAATTTCGTAAGCTAGTTATTAGACTAGAAGGACTAGCTTGAGGATGTGGGTATGAGTACAGTTAGAATCAATCACACCCACACCCATCGACCAGAATAATTCAAGATATTCACTCATTGACACGAGAAAATCGAACTACTGTGAATGGCAAAAAAGCAATGAAGTGTATTATATAAAATATTGGAATAAAACGATGAGAAATTAGATGAGCGTACCAGGTTTATTTGGAAATCAAAGACTGCTAGGGGCTTCTGGACCACGCTAAAAGATGGAACGACTATAGAACTAACTGAAAAACGATTACACAATCATATCAGAAATATTAAATTATGACAAAAAACTTTTTCCAATACATGAAACCAGCGACGAGTGTCCAGAAAAAGACACCATAAAGGTGATTTGCCATTAATTTGGCGTGCGTATTTTCAACTTTAAACCGTACCGGAATGCAGTGCCGAAGAAAAATATGAAGCATATAGATTAAAATGGAATTCATGCCCAACCATACAAATGGAGCATCGTTCAACCACTGGCGAACATCAATAATCAAGTAGAAGACGATCAAGATGATGAAAAAGAGACTGGCGACAGCTAGTACGAACGATGGTGAGCTAAGATTCTGATTGAGCGGAATCCATCCATCGGAGCGACCACCTTTAGACAGGAGCAGACCGAGAGACCCACAGAGAATAGCCGAAATAAGCCAATGGATAAGTATACGGCTAGTACTAGTGCAATGAATAAAACTATGAGCAGCTTGTACGCCGATATAACAAAGAAGAATTCCCGTCAGAGTACCTAGACTGCCTAAACGTTTCCGTCGAGGAAAAAGAATAATATTTTATTGTACAAAAATAAATCACCTTCTAACCTTCTGATACAAATGATAATTGAGTATTGTATATATTTCTACATGTCCAACAACGTGCCATGTGAGAATCTGTCAAAATTAGCTGATCGATGTATCGAGCGGCGCCTAGAAAATCAATGTAATTCCAATAGGTCGGGCGATTTTTAAGTGTGATAGCGCTACATACCCCCAGTACAGTTTTGATATTTGCCATGTTCATGTTTACCACCAGGACCCAAATAGCCTTTTGGGCAATTGGGGACATTGAGGAGAAAAGTGATAAGAAGCCAAGCGATGGTAATCAACAGGACGCAAAGCCATTGCAGCCAAAAGCGGAGAACACTGTTGAACAGATCAATACGCCAATGTCGATAGATTTTGCCGCCTCGAAAAAAAAGAACTTTAAAAAAATGCAAATATATTCAATTTTTCTATCTAACCAATAGCCGAGTGTATTGTGTTTGGCTCGTCATTAGTACCAGGAACGAAAAACACGATTATTGCTGTAAACAAATAGCACAAGGCTAATCGCTGGAGAACACCAAGGAGTAGAACTGTTTCCAAACCTGGTCCCGAGTCATCGGTAGCGAGACCTAAATGCGAGGAAGACAATGCTGAACAATAAACAATAATCTTATTTTTACCAAGCAGAAAAAGTATGACTGTTCGTCGACAAATCTTGAGCAGAATACTTCGCTTTCGAATCTTTTTTGAGCGCAATGATTTTTGTGACAGAACAATCGAGAATCCGATCAGCCATACAAAGCAAGGAAAAGGGAGATCAGCAATGGTTAATCCGTTCCAAACTTAAGAAAGATTCGATCAATTGTATAAATGGAATTCGTTCAAATGACTCACCTGCATGATGAAAAAACCAATAGCCACCACCTGTACAAAGCCAAACAGATTTGAAGAGAGAAAAAGAGAAGAATAAACATACCACCATAGTTAACAAATATCATCAACATGACAATAAGTCCGCGAAGTGTATCCAAAGCTCGAAAACGTTTGGACCTAACTGAATTAGAACCCATAGTTTTTTTCAATACATTACTTAGTTCAACTGGAGGCATTGTTTCATGTGCTTCAATATGTAATGAATTGTGTTGTGCTCGTTCAAGGTTTTCGAATGAGGCTAATGGCTTGATCAAAGGCATTGTTTCGCAATTATCTTTGACCAACTGTTGATTGAAAATATTTGCTATGAATGCCTTGAAATAGTTCCTACGATAGATGTGAAAGCAGAGTTGAATGATGGTAATAAATACAACCCAGATCACAAGGCCAATAATAACTGGTGACCAATAATGACTAGACTCTCCAATTTGCACTATTGAGCAAGTCTCAGTACTCTTTTCTACTCTTTGTATGACTTTGAATAGATAAGTGCCATGTTCATTAAATTTGTACGATCTTAATTGACACTGGAATGATGCGTTGGATGACAGTGATCGAACCTCAAACTCGTAAGCATACTCTGTTTTAATAATAAGAGTAACGTTGGAGTTTGAAGGGACACTAACCATTTCCTCGAGGTCACAGTTTTCACAGATAAGACGATTTCCAAGCAATACAATTGTATTGTCATTATCCATATTGCTCATGATCAAATAAGCTTCATCCATCGACAAATTTTGGGATGAAACATTTTCAATAATCGGGGATGTTCGAAAATGTATTGAACCACAGACACCTTCAATTACAAATAGACCAATAAGAAACCCTAATATCTTATAGGAGGACATCATAAGCATTGTTGTATATCAATTGTGTGAAAATAAAATTTTCTCTCTGTTAACTATTAAAAACATGTTGTTTGGTTTACATTCTTATCTATGTCAGATAAAATGACATAGCCTGCTGTTGCACACAGTTCCTTATCAGTTTGACTGAAATAAGCAACAATAAGTGAAGAAGAATTATGCTTAACACAAGAGTCGGTGTGGGTGCATATCTTGTTAGCATCATTCACATTCGCCTCATTGCTTAGATACAATTACGAAAGAATGGTCACCAGTGCTAAAAAGTGTAGTCATATATTTAATTAATAATCAAAGAAAAATGTTTTCCTATGGCCAAAAATATACGTCTCGATCGGAAATATTTTGATATATCTTCGATAGATGTTGTCTGTCTTGAGGCTGTGGGTGTGTATTCTTCTCACTCATTACCCACACCCTAAATGAAAAGAAAAAAGTTAGCTCTCTCATATAATATGCTTCACATCTACCTTGCGAGTTTCTTAATCATTATCAATTATCCATCTCGCATGAGGGGGTGGGTGTGAAAGAAGAGTCAAGTACGCATACTCACACCTACATTCTCAAGATGCTGACTAATATTTTTGTATCAGTTGCCGTAGTACAGTATGATTTTGTGTTCTGTAATCGATTGGATACAATTATTTTATGTGATAATTCATTGATTATAAAACAAAGTGAAAAATTAAGTTATCCAAGTACAATAGAGACTTTTTGCTTTTATCATACTCTGGGCATAGTATTAACATACATTTGAATACACAAGATTCGTATAAAAAAGCATTCACTTGGACTCAACAACACTTTTAAATAGAAGCCATAAGTGTTCGTAAACAGATTGTCTATAATATACGTTTTACACAAATATTTATTTACTAGAGACTCAATATCTTTTCTTGCAATACGAAATTTTCTTGTAGCATGAATTAATTAGAAAAATATGAAAGTAGAAGAAATTGATTATAAGCAATTTAATCACAGTTCTCTGCATGTTCAAAGCTCAATCTGATGTATTCGATCGGATATCATCATTGATTATAGTTGGCGCATATTAATTTTAAAATTATAGTACTAGTTTGAGATATGCCATATCGTAACAAAATACATTAGTCAACAACATCCACTTGTTTTAGTAGCAAAAGTTCTAATAACTATCACACAATTACATGGAATATCTCTCCACGTTTCTATAACTATAATTATAATGTTCTTGACAGATCTTATATAATAAAATAAAAGAGAAAAGTATGTCATTTATTTTTAATCTAATTGGATGTAACATCAAACAGTTTTTATCTACTTTTTACGTTTAATTAAAAAGACAACACGTAATAGATGTAAATATAGATTCAAGAAAATGATATAATGAGTACTTGTGTATTATCATTTAAAACATTAGATAGAAATTTCCATCATGAAAAAAAGATTATCTTTTACATTCTTGTAAATCTCTCTACCTGCATAGATTATTGTATTCTAACTAAATAACTTCAAACATTTGTCTTTAAATGAAATTCTATTGTGTTACCTAAAGTAACATACATAGGAAGTATTCGAAAATATCAAACATTAAAGTCATTATAATGCTTGACAACGTGCAAGATAAAAGTCTTTTTTTGATAGGCAGTATCAATCTGAAACACTAATTAAAGCGACTATCTATATTATGTCGTGGGTAGATTTTGTTATTTGCATCAACTTAAAAAATGAAGATAGAAGAGTAGAAGATGACTAGATTCATCGAAATTTTGATTAATTAAAATATTAATAAAACGGTAGTAAGTGTTAATTCTAGTTTTTATTCTTAGTAATTAATATTAGAATAACAATCATATTTAAATATGTCACTTCCTACTATTGTTACTTTTTGGCTTTATCTAATCTTTCTAATTCCGTCGATTATATTTTGTATTTTCTGTCTCTACTATTTTCTTATCGATGGTTCACTCCGTAAAGCTCTTCATAATCATGTCTTTATTATTATTCTTTTCTTTACTTTATTCTATGAATTAACTGATATAGTTTGGTTTATTTATTATTCTCACACCGGTATAGTATTTTCATCAACACCCATGTTTTGTCTAATATGGATCTATGTTGACTATGCTGGATATGTGACGATATTATTACTGATGAACTGGGCAGCAATTGAACGACATATTCTTATTTTTCATCAAAATTTTATGGCAACATCAATGAAACGTTTTCTTCTTCATTATTTACCTTTGATTATCTTTAGTATTTATCCATTTATATTTTATTTCATTGTATTTTTTGTGATGCCATGTGATGTTCCATTCAATTATAACAGACAACGATGTGCTCATGGTTTTTGTCTATTTAACAATGCATTTGTTGGTACGTTGGATGCTATAGTAGATTATATTATTCCAACATTTATTACTATTATATTGAGTATAGCTTTGATTATCCGTGTATGGCACAAAAAACATCAAGTTGGTCAAAGATTTCAATGGAAAAAATACAAAAAGATGACAATACAATTGGTATCAATATCGTTTCTCTACTTTGTTCTCTATTTGCCATTTATGATCTTAAATACTGC